CCTCCTTCCCTAAAGTTATTTACTTTAACATTTCACACAACTGTTTCTCTCCTTTTTTTTCATGTCCGGTATGTAGCACACAGCTTCGAGGTAATGTGTCAATTCTCACGTAGCACTACACCTTGTTCCATCTCAATGATGTAGGAATGAGGCGTCACACTCTTCCACCTGATTACTGCAGATGAAGCCCAGACCTTCTCATGGTCCATTTTTGTGAGGACTGTGTCCAGGCCTCAGTGTTGGCAAAACCGTTTAGCTCCATGGCAATGATTGTAAAAAATACGGCTTAAAGGTCTTTCTCTTTCATGTCTTTCTGTTTTGACAGTCCTTCTTTTTGGACACCTGGGTTTGAAGATTTTTCTCCATGGTGGGTAGAGTAGTTCTTATCTTTCTGCCCATCGAAGTTCAGCTGGACAGACTCCAGTGACAGACATAGGTACACAAACATAGGTCAAGATATATTTCCACAAACAGCAGACAAGACAGCAGATCAGAGACACTATCTGATCTCAGCCATAATCTTTACACACATATCACCAAATTTCTATTCACAACTAATTGCACTGAGGTACACCGCACATGTTTCTAATCTTTGCTAAGCAGAATGCTAGTTTGGGGTTGGGATGTGTGAGCACAAAATATGCGGCGGGAATCCATGGCATGCAGTATTTTCTAGGAACTTAAATTTAGCACGCTTCAGTGTCATTTTGGCCAAATGGTAGAAACATGGGAAACTTGATGACGTTGTTTTTCACCTAGGGACCAACAAAGCATTCCATCTAAGATGTAGGTAGGGAATTTCCATATTCAACAGGATGCCCTCTGTGGTATCGAAAAGGAAACTAACAAGCAACACCCATGTACAAGCAAATGACTACTGAGAGGAACTTAAACCAAGAACCTTTGAGTAGTTCAGGGAGGAACCTCAGGTCCAACTCCATTGCACCACAGAGCTCAGGTTATAAGTAACATGTGTTTTTCATCTCAGGCTCTTCCAAATTCAGTGAGGGGGTGAGCGCTTTCTGTTCTTGTTTACTAAACAGGTGTTTTCCTGATAACCGCACTTGAAATCTACCGAATAACACGTAATCTGAAAGGCAACCTTTTCACAACCTGAATCCACAAGCATTTAATTGCATCAATGTCAAGGCAAGACTTTACTCATCAGAGCCCCACCGAACCAATCTTGGCTTGCTTGTGTGGTGTGTCATCTCAGGCTGTAAGAAAGGCATGCAGTTGCACAAACAGAAGAGTTTCTTTTATCAGGCACTCAAGAAATTCCGCACTCTGGATCTCTTCTATGATTGATGAGACATTTTGCATCCTGCATTTACATCTCCCTTTTTCTACAGCATTCGTTGGGAAACAACTACAAAATAGTTCTTGTTGATAGCAGTTGAAATTTACATGCAAAAAACAACAAATGTAAAGGATCTAACCCATAGGTTTTAATTGATTCAACCATAGCCACCACCCAATGTAGACACTGCCAAATCGAGGCTTGCTGGTGTTCTCTCTTCTATGGAACAAATGATTGTTGCTATAGAAAAAAAGAATCATGCATGGGCACTGCTGTGATTTGAACCCAGGATCTCCTGTTTACTAGACAGGCACTTTAACCAACTAGCCACGGCATCATTTGTCTTATATGCCATCTTTCTGAACTGATTGTTGACTCTTACTCGAGCTAAGCTTTCACATTAAATTTCTGTTCACAGCAATAGTTACACTGAGGGTACACAGCACATGTTTCTAATCTTTGCTAAGCAGGAATACTAGTTTGGGGTTGCGATGTGTAAGCACAAAATATGGCGGGAATCCATGGCATGGGTGTTTTTCTGAACTTAATTTTAGCACAGCCAGTGTGATTTTGGCCAAATGGTAGAAACATGGAAAATTGATGAGTTGTTTTCACCTGGGGGCCGCCACATCTGAAAGCAAACAAATATAGCAGGATCTGAACCACAAGGTTTTAATTGAACCAAGCCGTAAAGCCACCACCCAATGCGACCTAATGGGCCCAATCAAGGCTTGCTGGTGTTGTCTCTTCTCTGGAAGAAAGTGATTAAAGACATTGCTCTTGAAACAAACAGTATGAGACGCTGCTGGGATTTGAACCCAGGATCTCCTGTTTGCACGACAGGTGCTTAAACCAACTAAGCCGCAGCACCAAAAGGCATTAGATGGCACCTGTCTGAACTGATTGTTGACTCTTACTCAAGCTCGCTTTATGCCAATAACATGCGGACATAGATTACATATTAAAGGCATCTACTCAACCAGCCATTAAATGCACATTCTGTCGTGCCAGATTCAGAAAAATATAACCCAAACCATTGGTCACCAACCCTGTTTCTGGAGATACTCCTTTGAAGCCATAGCCCCAGATAAAGTATTGTGGAATAGGCATCCTACAAAGATGCTGATCTGGCATGTGAAAGGTATGTTGTGTACAAAATGCTGTTGTGGGGTACTCAGCACGTGTTGGTAATCTTGGGTAGAAGAAGTTTGGGGGGTTTTGGATGTGTGAGCACAAGGGTGTATAGCAGGTTATGGCATAAACCCATGTCATGGGTATTTTATAGGTATTTAAATTTAGCCCAGTTTCAGTGTCAATTTGTCCAAATTAGGTAGAAACATGGGGACCCTGATAGCGTTGTTTTCAACAGGGGCCAACAAAGCATTCCATCTACGATGGAGAGTAGGGAATGCCATATTGAAACAAAATACCCTCTCTCGAATAAATCAGCAATCCACTCCCACCTGAAATCAAATGCTCTGGAGGACTTGAACACACAATCTTTGAATACTCCAACGTTGAACCTAGAAGTCCGAGGGCACTATCCGTTTGCACCACAGAGCCCAGATAACAAGGAGAGAGGTATATGAAAGTAGCAAGGTTTCTCTCAAACAGTCAGATCTACCCGTTTTGATTTAGTCAGTCAGGTTTTAAATACCTAGGTATCAAACGTATCACGTTCTCTATCTATTCTTCTATCAGCTACTTATCTTTATCTGCTTATCTACCCTCCTTATCTCAAAGGTTAAATCTAACATTCAGAGTTGGGATAACTTACCCTTTCCTAATTGGCAAGATCAACGCTGTCAAAATGAATATTTTACCGAAGTTTCTTTTCTTGTTCAACAAGTGCCTCTTTCTCTCCAAAATCATTCATTGGATAAGATAATTAGTATATTTATTTGGGAGGAAGCCACCAAGGGTTAGTAAATCTTTATTGCAGAAATGTAAACTTATGGGAGACTTGCATTACCCAATTTCAATTCTATTACTGGGCTGCACACTCCCATAAACTTTGTTACTGGGTTCGGAATCTCCTGGATCTTCTTGGTCTAAATTGGAATTATCTTCTTGTAGGGGAATTCTCTTTACCTGCTTCTACTTTACACCTCTTTACTACAAAACTTTCCCATTATACTCGATAACCCTGTTGTCCTCAGCACACTTAAGGACTTGGTATCAATTTAGGCGACATTTTAAATTTGTAGGTGCATCCTCTTTGTGTCCTTTAGTGAACAACCATCTATTTCCCCATCGTGTATGGACTCCTCATTTTCAGTGTGGTATGACAAGGGTATTAAACAAGTTAGGAAGTTGTATTCTGATGGTGTGTTTGATAAGCTTTGCCAATTTGGCATCCACTTACAATCTCCCCTTGACACATTTCTTTTCGGATTTTCAAATCTACGAATTTCGTTTCTAGATGTTTTCCTGATTTCCCTTCTGCTCCTCTTGAACAGGCTTGGAAGACCTGTTTTCAAATAACCCGCATCAGAGAGGAATGATTTCAAAGATTGTTGTTTTATTTTGGCACGAAGGTAGTGGATGAGTAATAAATTAGGTATGCTGGGGAAACGGAATTAGGCGTACAAATAAGTGAGGAGTGTTGTGAACATGCTATAGGGAGGTGCAGACTACCACTTCTTGTGCTCGTCTTGGACTTATACAGTTCAAAGTTTTAAATAGAGTCCATTTGTCCAAGTCTAGGATTGTCTGTGATGTATCCGATGTTGAGGACAAGTGTGATAAATGCCATGGCTCTCCCTGTCATCTTGGCCATATGTTTTTCTTCTGCCCTAAACTCCATGGTTTTTGGTCTGGCTTTTTACCATCATGTCCACTATTCTCAGGGCAGATCTAAGACTTGTTCCACTGATTCGATATTTGGGATCCCTCAAGCTTCAATTCCTTTGAGTTCGATACATAAGGATGTTGTGCTTTCACATCCCTTATAGCTGGATGTTCCCTACTGTTACTGAAGTCTACTAAATGCCCATCTGTCTGTCAGTGGATAGGGGACTGTATGTTTTTCTTTTCGAAACTCCGAAAGATACGATATACGATGAATGGATGTACAGATAAGTTTTTCCATAAATGGCATCCCTTTATTGCCTACTGTGTAGGTTACAGACACTACCACATTTAAAGGTTGGTGCCTGTTGTCGAATTTTATAATTATCTCTGTACCTTCCAACATGAAGTTAATGGGTATACATGATGAGCCGGAGGGTGGGTTGTGGGTTCAATTTTGTTTTCTTTGTATAAAAGAAAATATCTGTAAGGAATATTTACTGCTGTTGCTCATTTTGTATTTTTGGGAAATGGTGGGAGGACAGAACAGAAAAGCGATTTAGATAGGCTTAGCAGTTCAACAGAAATGTTCATCAGAAATGTTTAATAAAAAGTAAACGTTTGCAGAAATGTATGGCAGGGAATGTTTAAGAGAACTGATTTTAGCAAAATTGTTTCAGGTATAAATGTAGAAATGTTCCTGTGGAAATGTTATCAGCATCAGAAGTGTTCGAGAAATGTTCAGTAAAAATGAAAAGAAAAAAAAGTAGCAAAGGTGTCCTTCTCTGATTCTTCCAAATTGAAAGTGAGGCGTAGCACTCACCAATCTATTAGCTTGCTGGTATTTACTCCTTTCTGTAACAAGGGGATGGAAGGCATTGGTCTTGAAAGAAAGGAAAGCTCCTGATCAGGACCTGCTGGGATTTGAACCCAGGATCTCCTATTTACCACACAGACCTTAACCAACTCAAGCTTCAGACCATAGTTTTTAAATTCAGTGTTGGTGGATTGATTGTTGACTATTAATTAAGCTAAGCCGTATGCCAACGGCATGCGGACATGGAAAACATATTCAGGCATCTACTCAACCAACAACAAAATGCACATTCTGTCAAGTGTCAGATTCAGAAAAGAGACAGCCCAGACTGATCGGCTCATCAATCCTGATTCCTGGATTCCTTCTTTTGAACTCATGGCTCCGTCTGGAAGTGGGGACATAATCATCCCTGCACAGATGCTATCTGGCATATGTGGATTTCTTGTTTCTGCCAGAATGCTGCTCCTTCCGCGGGTTTGTGGAATGCTAGCTGATGCTCAACCTCGGATAAACAACGGAAATATGGTCAAGATTTTCCAACTAAATTCTTTAAAGCGTTTATTGGAAAATTAACTCCATTGCTTTGCTATGTTCACCGAATTTTTTGGAACTGGGTCTTTGCCTCAACTCTGACACAAGACGATAGCTCTGCTCTAAAGAGGTAAGGATCCATCCTCCTGTGGTTCTTATGGACCTATCACTGCTGAATGCAATGTAAAAGTGTACAAAAGTAATGGCATCTCGGTTAGAGAATGTGCTTCTTATGTTATATCTGAAAGATCAGAAACCGTTTTTATAAAGGGACGTCAAATGTTTTTCATCATACCCGTAGCACTCTTTAATATAATTTATTCAAAAGCATTCAGCTGTTCACCCTGAGATTGTGATTTCATTAGATGCTGAAAAAGTGATTCGAAGGCTAGGGGGTGGTTGTTTGCAGTCCTGAGAGTTTGGATTGGGGATGGTTTGTTTCTTGGTTAGCCTCCTTTCTCAACCCTTTGTGTCTGGAGTTCACAACTACGATACTTATTCTGATTATTTGCTCGACGAGGGGGTCGCCATGAGGTGTCCCTTTATCCCACTGCTTTTTGCTGTTGCCCCGAGCCAACTCTCTATTGCACTAAAATCTTCCTCCTTGTATTAAAGGAATGGTTCGATACGAATTGAGTTCTGTGTCGCTATATGCTGATGGTTTGTTATGTATATAACTGATCCTACCCGCCTCTGCTTCTGTCTTGGATGTTCTGGAGTCTTTGGTGTTGTCTCTGGTTATACAATTAAATATAAATACATGACCATTTCCCTGTACAATACTCAGCTCTGTGTCTCCAACAGTCAGATCTACCCGTTTGATTTAGTCAGTCAGGTTTTAAATACCTAGGTATCAACTGTAGCACGTTCTCGATCTAATCTTCTGTCAGCTAGCTTTACTCCGCTTATCTCAAAGGTTAAATCAACATTCAGAGTTGGGGTAACTTACCACTT